AAATGTACATTTTTATTCCAATCCCAAAGAAGGGTAATGCCAAAGAATGTTCAAAATACTGCACAACTGTACTCATTTCACATGCTAGCAAAGTAATGCTCAAAATCCTCAAAGCTAGGTTTCAACAGTATGTGAACCAAAAACTTCTAGACGTACAAGATGGATTTAGAAAAGGCAGAGGAACCAGAGATCAAATTGTCAACATCTGTTGGATCATAGAAAAAACAAGAGATTTCCAGAAAAGCATCTACTTCTGCTTCATTGACTATGCTAAAGTCTTTGACTATGTGGATCACAAGAAATTGTGGCAAATTCTTCAAGAGATGGGAATACCAGACCACCTTACCTGCCTCCTGAGACACCTGTATGCAGGACAAAAAGGAACATTTAGAATCAGACATGGAACAACAGACTAGGTCAAAATTGGGAAAGGAGTAGTCAAGGCTGTATATTGTCACCCTGCTTATTTAACTTATATGCAGAGTACATCATGCAAAATGTCAGGCTGGATGAAGCACAAGATGGAATCAAGATTGCTGGGAGAAGTATCAACAACCTCAGACATGCAGATGACACCATCCTTATGGCAGAAAGTGAAGAGAACTAAAGAGCCTTTGAGTGAAGATGAAAGAGGAGAGTGAAAAAGCTGGCTTAAAACTCAACATTCAAAAAATGAAGATCATGGCATCTGGTCCCATCACTTCATGGCAAATAGATGGGGAAACAATGGAAACAGTGACAGACTTTATTTTCTTGGGCTCCAAAATCACTGCAGATGATGACTGCAACCATGAAATTAAAAGACACTTGCTCCTTGGAAGAAAAGCTATGACAAACCCAGATAGCATATTAAAAAGCAGAGACATTACTTTGCCAACAAAGGTCCATAGAGTCAAAGCTATGGTTTGCCAGTAGTCATGTAAATGTGCGAAAATTGGGCCATAAATAAGGCCGAATGCCAAAGAATTGATGCTTTCGAACTGTGGTGTTGGAGAAGACTCTTTTGAGAGTGAGAGTCCCTTGGACTGCAAGGAGATTAAACCAGTCAATCCTAAAGGAAAATCAATCCTGAATATTCACTAGAATGACTGATGCTGAAGCTGAAACTCCAATACTTTGGCCACCTGATGCAAAGAGTCGACTTATTGGAAAAGACCCTGATGCTGAGAAAGATTGAAGGCAGGAGGAGAAGGGGATGACAGAGGATGAGATGGTTGGATGGCATCACCAACTCAGTGGACAGGAGTTGAGCAAGCTCTGAGAGATGGTGAAGGACAGGGAAGCCTGACCTGCTGCAGTCCATGGGGCTGCAAAGAGTCAGACACGACCGAGGAGCTGAACAACAAAGAGGGCACTGCCCTTTCCTTGGAAAGTAGGAACGTGTATGTCTAGGCCCCTCCATTTGCTTTCGTCAGTTCTCCACCACTCAACTAAAGTGGTGTCCCCACTCCTTGTGTATCACTCTATTTCTTTCTTTTATCACCATGGTTCTTATCTCCACCTCTTTGTTTACTTGATTAGGGTCTGACTCCCTCTACCAGACGGTAAGCTCAAGAAGAGGAGCCATTTCTGTGCAGTTTGTGGCTATATCTCAAGTGTCTACAACACACTGAATAAATAAATAAATAAATGAACAAACAGTCCCATATTCCAATTGTTAGAGAAAGAAAAATAGAATGTGTACTTTCTAGATGTAATTAGTAGTCAATTTGTGGTATCTTTGCTTAACCCTGGAACTGAGATATGCATCAATTGTTCCTGCTGTGTGTGGCTCTAAATGTTCTGCTACTCTTTTATCTACTGCATTTCTATTCATTGGTTCATTAATGCTTGGCCTACAGCTGGAAAGTGTCTGCAGCGACTCATAAAGGCAACAGTCAACAGGTAAAAGATAAGACCTTGTAAGTAAAGGAGTACGACCGAAGGGAAACCTTATCAGGAAATCACTGTTAAGGTGTAACTTTCAATTACAATCAATGCAAGATTTGTCCCCCAAGCTTCCTTTTTCTGTTCTGTGCTGGGAAAGGTGACTTGAACATTGAAAACTTGCTTGAAAAAATTATTCAGAGTCCCAGGGCAATTTCTGGTAAAACTGTCCAAATTTTTCTGAAATTTATACTCATCCAAGTAACTGCTCATAAAGGTACCATTTTTGAGGCAAAATTAAATTATTTCACGCTAATTCTTCCATTTCTCATGCTTCCTCATGACAACCCAGAAGTAGAGGAGACAGAGGTAGCATTTTACCTACCAACTGGACAACTTTTTTTTAATGATATATATAGGAGCATGAGTTGGCACCTTCTGGTCTTTTGGTGTTCCTAAATATAAAGAGGTCCAAACTGACACTTTCTGAAAAATACTTTTAAAAAGAAAATCAGCAAAGTGGACTAGAATTTGCTTACAAATGGGAAAACTCCTCAGGAGTTCCTGGTTTGTGTAAAGATGTCATTGAGTTTACTGGCAGTGAACTGGAGACTCATATCACTCAAGGGGCTGATGACTAACCAGAAATTGCTCCTGGATGCTGAATATTCTTGCTTTGAAGTCAAATTCATTTTGAATTTCTAACCCAAATCAGTTTTACCTGGGACAGGCAGAAGAGTGTAAAGCTGCTGTCCTGAAATATAAGCACAAACTTAATCTCAACTATGAAATACTCATAACCACTGTGACTGTGGCTGGTGTCATTCTAAAAATTAAAAGTCAGGAAAAAAATTAAATTAATCCAGAAATCCATCACAGAAGACACTGAAAATGAAAATATAATGCTCAAAACACTATACCCCTTAAATCACATGCACACACACAGACTTACAGAAAAATACACTTTAGTTGTTGCCCATTCCATGATAAATCCCAACTTCCTACGCCTTCATGCCCATAATTCATCTGGACTAGAATAAACTCAGGGTTTTCTTCAGTCTGTAATGTCAATAATTCACATTTATTCACTCTGGACATTTAATGGTATGGCTTCTCATACATTATCCTCCATTTGAACCAGCTCATGGAGAAGGCAGACAAACATTCTATTCCATCGTAAAGCTGAAACTCGAAGAGCTTGAGTGATTTGCCAAAGATCATATGATAAGTAACTGGCAGAGCCTGTATTTGGAGAAGGAAACAGCAACCCACTCCAGTATTCTTGACTGGAGAATCCCATGGTCAGAGGAGCCTACAGTCCTCCTGGGTCGCAAGAGTCGTACACGACTTAGCAACTAAACCACCACCACCAGAGCCTGTATTAAGATGCCAAACTTCTGATTCTTTAACTCTATCCTTTCCTGCAAGTTTCACAGCTTCTTGGGTATCCTAGAAGATCTGATATACCCTGCATAAGCTCAAATGAAGGAGATATCTCAATACTTAAGACCTGAATGCTGGTCCAAGGCAGTAATAAACTTAAGCTGGGTAGACTTTCCCAGACTGTCCTGGCACTGATCAGTCATTTTTCTGGGGAGAACTCAGGTCCTCTAGCTAGAACCCACAATCTAAAGGTACATTTGACAGCTCCATGCTAGGAAAGAAGTGTCTACAGCCAACATTCTTCTCAATCAGAAGCCCAATGAATGTGTTTCCAAAGATGGGGAGTTATATCTCATTAGCTCCCATATATTTTGAATACCTGGACCAAAGATGCAAGATTATGTAGGTACTGTCCATCTAAAGCAATCTTTTCAATGCATATTAAATAATTCATTCTCTGATGAGGCCAAACATGCTTCAGTTTGTACTACATAGTCCTCATCCTTTTGAGACATAACAGTTCTCAACAAAACCAATGAAAGAATATAAGCCCAGTAAATTGCTTTTCTCCTTTCATGTATTATCTGTCAAGCCTGAATGCACAGACACCCCCTTCTAAGTTTACAAAAGATACTTCCATTCTACTGGTGCAAATCACAATCTCCTTGTTTCTGAAATTTATTTTAACAGAGACAGAGGAAGGATTCCCATTTATTGAGTTCTAAGTATGTTAGGCAATTTTAAGAATATTACCATTTTGAATTCTCATAATAGTTCTTAAGGGGTCATTTCACAGATGAGAGAAGAAAGGCTAACAGAAGTTAGATACTCCCAAGGGTATCTATTTTTGGTATGGACCAAAATTCCTCCTCAATCTTCAAATCTCAAAGCCTCAATCTTTTCTACTCATAAGATGTTGAGAACCCAAAGATAAACTTGATCTATAGGAGAAAGAGGAAGGTCTTGTCTTTCTTTTAGGAGGGGAGGGGAAATCAATCTCTCCCATCCTTTCCTTTCAGTAATGCTGAGGGAAGTGGAAGACATTTAAGAGCAGCAAGGGCTCGGTGAAGAAGGGGGAAGCTTCCAGAGGGCAGGAACCAGGTCTGGGTAGCCAGCTTTGTCCAATGTCAAGTCCAGCAGAGGTGGAGCTTCTCGCAGAAGCTGTGCATTTGCAACACATCAACGCTGCAGAGTCCTGCCTGGTCCTCTCTCAGGGCGGAGAGCAGCCCGCATCTCTTCCTCTCAGCCTCACATAGCAGGAGGTACTGGAAGCAACACCTGGAGGCTTAATAGGCCAGGCAGGAGTTGAGAGCGGCAGATAGCAGTGTGTGTGTGTGTGTGTGTGTGTGTGTGTGTGTGTGTGTGTGTACTGGGGGCTGGGGGTGGGGGCGTCTGGTGAGAGGCTTCTGCTCAATAATGTAAGGGGTTGGGCAGCCCACGTGACTCCAGGAAGGCGGAGACAGGCTAGCTGGAGGGAGGACTGACAGGCCGCGGGGAGGGGTGCAGGATTAGAGGGGCAATCTGAATAATTGAGGAGCTGTTCGGCAGCGGCGGCTGCCTCCTGCTTTCCTTTGCCGCCACCACCCCGCATCACCGTAGAAGAGACAAGCCCGGCGCTGTAAGTGAGGACCGCCAGCCATCCGCCCGGGAGCCAGTTCATCACCTCCAGCCCTCCGGTGAGTGAACGTCCCCCTTTCGCTGTAGTCTGTCCCCCTCCGTGGCCCCTGCACCCCAGCTGGAAAATGGGATGATCACCTCTTGTTGAATGAACCAGGGAGCCGGAGGCAGCCGGAGCGGGTAAGCAGGAACATGGCGCGGAGGCTGAGGGCGCCCTCCGCGAAGGGGTCTCCTAGAAGGAAGGACGGAGCCTGGCCGGGGTCTCTCCGGCTCTGGCCCGGAATGGGGCCTGGACAGCATCCAGGGTCGGGGGACGCCGGGCTCCCACTCGCGGGGCTGCCAGGCAGGTCCGGCCCGCGGGAGCTAGAGGCGGAGGAGGGAGCCGCGAGCAGCGTCCGGGCCGCCAGGTCTCCACTGCCGCGGGCCCGTCCTGTCCCCCCCAGTGCCTTGGCACGCACCTTGGCTCGCGCAGCTGGGTTTTCTCGGCCTCTGAAAGAGTCCAACGAGAGAAAGATGCTTTTCCGGCCGAAGCCCGAAGGACGGGCGGGAACAACGTCTGCCCTTTTACATTAGAGCAAACTCTTCAAAGGGACTCTACCAGGTGACCTGACAAGGCCATGCGCTCGCGGGGGCATCTGTCCCCAGAGACCGGTGACACAGCGGGGGCGACGAGGAAGACGTGATGGGTGAGGTGTCAGGGAAGATCCCTGGGGAGAGGACTCTCACACTCACACCTAAGTCAGAGCCCGCCCCACTTCCCCATCCCAGAGCACATCAGTGTCCTGAGAATCCAAAGGGCCAGAGCAGGTCAGTGTAGCCTCGCCGGAGGCAGCCACAACCTCCTTCTAGCTCTTGAGGCAGCCCCCGCCCCCACCCCTCACGCACACATGTATTTTGTATTGTGATTGAAAAGTAAGACAGAAGTCGCAGAATGACTAGAAGTAAAGGTGGAGAAAAGGTGCAGGAATGCTGGAAAAATAGAGCCCTCACCGGCTCCCGGCACTCCCCACCCCACCACCTATGCTGACCTCGGTTCTTGTGGGTCTTCAACCGAGAGGCGAAAAGAAACCGGCTCTTGGGAGGTATTCTCACCATAGTGGCAGGGCCGGTCACTGGCCAGAGTTCACCAAGAAACACAGAATGATAACCCACCTCCCCTCCCCCAACCCCATTCCGACCGGAGCCCCCTCCTGGAAGGGGTTCGGGAGAATGCCAGGGGCAGGATAGCTGCAGTCCCGTGAGTGGGCCACAGACAGGATGGCGGGGCGGGCGCTGTCCGCGGTGCTGAAAGTTCTCCAAGGCGGCGAGATAACACCGCCAAGGGACTGGAGGTTCACTGCTTGTCAACATTTTTTCTCCAAAGCAGAAACTGTGTTAGAACCTCGTAAAGGAAGTCAAGTGGAGCAAGTGACCTAGAGAGAGGGGTAAAGGTGCTATGCATTCCCCGTTTCTCTGCCTTCCCACCCACCCACCGCCCCGCACCCCCCCCCCCCGGACTCCACTTGGAAGCAGGTTTTCCCCAATGCTGGGTTGAGGAGCAAGGAGCGGGTGTCACTCCAGGATCCAGCTTTGCTAACTTGAATGAGAACGAATGTGGTGCCTCATTCTGTTTTCTCTGCCTGCGCTGTGAATCTTCCTGTTGGTGAAGTGTTGGAAACACAGTTAGGGTTGTTGTTCTGATAAACATTACTGTGGCTTTGAAGAACCAGAGAACTCTAAGGCTGCACAAAGGAAGAGGCTTCATTAACAGAGAGACTAACTAGGCTTTCTATTCCTGGCTGAGGTTTTTTCCCTCTTCACCACCCTTCTCTCTCCACCGCGTGTTATCTACAATGTAAATTTTACATCCTCTAGATATAGATCTCTAAGCAGTCTTGTGTGTTTCTTTGAGAGTCTTTTACATTATGGGCTAGATGAGGAATGAACTAAGCCAATTTCAGGAGGCCAAATTAAGAGAGTATTTATTTAAAAAAAAAAAACCTACTATTTGCTGGGTCATATCATCTCATTTAAGCTTCACAATAGCTGCTAACCAAATGTATCACAAAGTTCAGAAAACTGAAGTTATGTATCTCAAATCCAGAGCTTGGATTCAAATTCAAGTCTGAAGTCCAAGCTATTTTCGCCCTCATTTTGGTATTGACTTTGGGCAGTGGTTACTGGAGACTATAGCAAGAATCTGTCAAAGGTAGAGGACCTGCTTTGCTTTTCACAGACACTACTCTCTCTTCCAACCCTTTCCTCTTTAATCTGTTCACCCACCCACTGTCACTAACTCCCACCATACCAACTGCTTTTGTGCATGCTGCTTGAGATACCACTGTTCACACACTTGAGCTTCAGAATAACAGAAACCCGATAGAGGAATAAAACGGCAGGCTTTCCTGAAGAACAGCAAGGCTTCAGGGAATCTGGAGGACTAGATCCCACTCGTGCTTTAATATTTAGAATTACACCCTTGAGTTATAGGACTGGCAAAAACCTTCAAGATCATTAAGCATCATTATTTAGAACAGACTTGTGGACTCTGGGAGAAGGCGAGGGTGGGATGTTTCAAGAGAACAGCATTGAAACACGAATATTATCTAGGGTGAAACAGTTCACCAGCCCAGGTTGGGTGCATAAGACAAGTGCTCGGGCCTGGTGCACTGGGAAGACCCAGAGGGATTGGGTGGAGAGGGAGGTGGGAGGGGGGACCGGGATGGGGAATACATGTAAAAAAAAAACAAAAAAAGATAATTTGGGAACCCAAAGATGCTTATTAGTCTAACTCACATGACTGAAAAGTTAGGACTGGAATCCAGTTGACCTGACTCCGAGGCCAATGCCCTTTCCACTACTCCCATGGTGCCTCAAATATTCTTCCATGCCTTCTCTGATTATCTGTGACAAGAACATCAGCAGGACTGAACTATATTCAGTAATTTGTTGTTTTTGTTGTCATTTAGTCGCTAAGTCATGTCCAACTCTTTGCCACCCAATGAATGGTAGCTCACCAGGCTTCTCTGTCCATGGAATTTTCCAGGCAAGAATACTGGAGTGGGTTGCCATTTCCTTCTCCAGGGGATCCTCCCAATCCAGGGGCTGAACCAGCATTGCCTCTTTGGCAGGCATATTCTTTTACCACTGAGCCACCTGAGAGTCACAAACACTCAAAACACAAGTAGTCCTCCTACCTAATTTTTCTTCCTGTTTTTCCCTCTCTGGTCTCACTATTCCAGTGTTGGCTGATGGAATATAACTGAGATATCTGACCCACATTCCTCAATAACTGTTTTCCCTATAACAACAATTTGCAAATCGGGATGGTGATATGGCATTTCTTTACTTGCCTTTATGCTCTCTATATTTCCTCTTCTATGATCTATTCTCAACACAATAATTTTTCCAAAATCAATTACCCTTAGCATCTTCCTGTATTCTCACAGGTACATGGAAGAGGCCTCAAAAAGATTTAGGCAGAAATAAGTGATCATCCCAAGTCCTGATATTTATCAATGCTAGGCAGTATGCTAAGTCCTTTCATAAGTCATTGAATTTTCACAATTCTATCAAGTGGACAATTTCATTAGACATGGTCCTAGAGTTCTAGTCCACTCTAACATACAACAGACCCTATACTCTATTCATTTTTGCTTGCTTCTCTTCCAGCCCATAGTAAAATCTCACTTTCATTAATTAAATTTTTGTAGCCCTAGTAATCACACTGGCAAGATGAAACTTTTATATTGAATTAGACAATTCTATCCTGCTCCAAAATGTAGAATTTAGAAACTCAAATTCAGTTTAAATGGCCCTGTTCTGCTGTTTCATCTCTTAATATTTACCATAACATATTCTTCCCATTTGTTATCCTTTACTTAAAGATCCCCTTATGCCTTCCTAATGCTATTACTGACATTCTGCTTCAAACCTGCTCCAGAAGCAAGGCATAACTCATAATTAAATACATAACTTCTATTATATCATCACTGGGTGATTCTGCAAGGATGATTTTGCTGGATTACTTGGTCCCAGGTACCATAATCTTACACTGTCTAGAACCACTGTATCCAATATGGTAGTCACTAGCCATATGTAGTTATTTACCATTTTAATTAGTTAAAATTTAAAAGTTAAAAATTCAGCTCCTTAATCACACTAGGCATATTTCAGCTGCTTAATAAAACCATATGTGGCTACTGACTGCCTTATTGGACAATGCAGATATAGAAAATTTCCAGCATTGCAGAAAGCTCTATTGGACAACATTTCTTTAGGAAGTGCTAAAAACATCACAGCAACTGAGAACAGAAATTGGGAATAAGGACTTGGGACTCTGCTTTGAAACTGTTTCCAAGAGAAGAGAAAAATCCACCTGTGCTGAGAACATCCCCCAAAGCCCAAAGATGCTCAAGACAATAAGAATAGGAAGGAAAAACATGTATCTCACTGAAGGAGCCGATGACTTCTGGAGTTTAATTTCACATAGATTCCTTTTTACCATAAAGTCAAATGTTCTATTTTACTGGTCTTCCTGGTTTCCTGAGTTCCAACTTAGAAATAACATAGCAGTTCTTATTCAGAGTTCAAATTTACATATACTTTATATGTAAATATCTTTTATACACATATATATATATTTATCTTAAGATAGATAAATAGATCTTAACAAAGGAATGGATGGTAACTTGAAAGATACTCTTTCAGAGAAAGAGCTGAGATACACTCTCAGCCTGATGTTGGTCAAGCATGCCATTCTCAGGCAATTGTTGCATATGGAATCTTATTACTAAAGGAAAACTTAGAGAAACTGTCTACTCCGGTCTCCGGCAGATCATGCAGGCTTTAATAATAAATACCACTTTGGGGGGAGTCATGGTTTATTCATTTCATGGGAACTCTTTATCTCTTAGAGAGGCCTGGATTTTGGAAGAGAGAAATACATTACCTTGGAGCTGAAAAGAGTTTAATTTTCACTGTCTTCAGCTTGAAGGATTTAACTGATTTTGTATCTCAAGAAATAAATAGAACTGACAGTGTAGCTTGGAAACTCATGCTGGTAGCATACAATCATTCACTTAATCAATAAAGTAGTTGAGGAGTGTCATATATTTGCACAGAAAGACTGTGGTCACAGGTGTTTGGAACTCCTATAGCCTAGCACATGGGTGCTCAATAAATATTTGCTGAATTCATACCATTGTTCCAGGTCACTTCATGCCACAAACTCATCTAGCCAAGAAATGAGTACTCCCCGTGGCATTTTCCCTTATGAAATAAAACAGGAGACAGACACAGAACATCAAATCCTACCCTGATAACCACCCTCCTAACCCCTCTGGGGGCATAGGTAGTGATGGCCAAGACAGACTGCCACTGAGAACTGGGTCTTGCTGTTCTCCTCCAGGGAACAAGGGACACATCAGTTCAAGAGTGTTTCATTTCATTATGATGAGGCAATTTCACAAACAATACTTAAATGGAACTGTATGATACTTTTCACTTTT